CAAATGTGGGGGGAGGCGTGGTGGGGAGAGAAAGGTAATGAAGTGATCTTCTACCTAACATATGTGAGAGTTAGAACAAATGTGTGTTAATGACTTCAGGTACTTGAGAAATTGTCTTAACCTGAAGAAACAGCTTGTGGAGAACTAAAGAGAGCTGATCACAGGTCTCTGGCAGAAATTTCTCCTCTGGCCCATGAAAGGTACTACAGTAATAGCATTTGCGTCATCCCAAGTTGGTTTGACTTCCTTCTCAGGAATTGCCAAAGTCAGGGCAGCCTTCCTCATGGCCTCCGCGACAGAGACCTGGTCCCTCTGGTTGCCAGGTCTAGCAGTGTCTGGCACATGGGATATACTCCATAAATATGAGTGAGTGAGTAGTCTGACACCTCAGTCAGAGTTCTTATCTTCTGCACATCTTTTCTCAGCTATGATGAGCCTAAGTTTTGTACTGATGGCTGGATGAAGAAAGAGTCCCACACTCCCTAACCTGACTGCAAGTTCCTAAAGGCAAGAATTATGTAATGTTAGCATCTAACTGTGTGTGTGTGTGTGTTTTTTTCTTGTTATTTAACAAACACATTTTTTAGCAGGCATTCTTCAAAAAACTTTAACAAAATAAGTAATTCAATCATCATGACAACCCTGTGAAATAGGTACTGTTATCCCTGTTTTACAGAAGAGGAACAGAGGCTCAGAGACCTTAAGTCACTTGCCTAAAGTCACAGAGCTAAATGGTGCAGCTGGGATTTCAGCCACACGGGCTGGTTCCAAACACAGTGCTCCACATATGTACCTTACTATGCTGCCAGTGTTAGGGGAAATGATGGAGGAAAGAAAAAAATTTAGGATCTCAGGAGAAAACTGAGAAGAGAAGAATATTTGTAAATAGATATCCAAATGAACAGTATATTTCCAAATACTTCATGCATAGTTAATACAGTACAAATGTTGACACTGTATGAAATAAAAATTTAGGCTGATTTGAATACCTAACTTAAAAGGTGCTGCTCTTTTACACCTGAAATAATATTGAATATAAACTGTAATTGAAAAAAAGAAAAAAGCCCTGGCCAGTGTGGCTCCGTTGGTTGGAATGTCATCCCATACACCAAAAGACTGTAAGTTCGATTCCAGATCGGGGCACATACCTGGGTTGCGGGTTCAACGCCCAGTTGGGGCATGTACAGAAGGCAATATTTCTCTCTCTCCCTCTCCCTTCCTCTCTAAGAACATATTATTGGGTGAGGATTAAAATAAATATAAATAAAAGGATTTTGCTCCTTTGTTTAAAAAATAAATAAAACCTTGTCAAGTTATAAGCACTTTCTTCCACTTACAAAAACACAAATTACATAAGTAAATAAAACCATCAAATTGTGAATCATTTGAAGTAATCAAAATCATGACCCTGACTTCCAGATAAGTGAGTATTTTCTATACTCACTTAGTAGAAAATTAAACTCACAACTGGTTAAAAAGTTCAAAATTCTGCCCTGGCTGGGTGGCTCAGTTGGTTGGAGCGTCGTCCCATAAACCGAAAGGTTTTGGGTTTGATCCCTGGTAGGGGTGTGTAGGAAGGCAACTGATTTATGTTTCTCATGTGGATGTTCCTCTCTCTCTCCCTTCCTCTCTCTAAAACCAATAAAACATATCCTTGTGTGAAGATTTTTTTAAAAGTTCAAAGTTCAGTTATTCTGATAGGCATTTGTAATTATTTTCTAGGGTTGCTGTACCAAAGTACCACATAGTAGGTAGCTTTAATAACAGAAATGTATTGTCTCACAGTTGGGGAGGCCAGAAGTCCAAGATCAAGGTGTCAGCAGTGTGGGTTTCATCGGGAGCTGTTAGGGAAGAATCTGTTCCAGGCCTCTCTCCTTGGCTTGTAGGTGTCTGGCTTCTACCTGTGTGCCTTCAGAACATCTTCCCTCTATGTGTGTCTGCCTCTATGTCCAATTTCCCCTTTTTATAAGGACATCAGTCACACTGAATTAGAGCCCGCCCTAATGGCCTCATTTTAACTTGATTTCCTATCAAAGGACCCTATCTCCAAATAGTCACAGTCTGAAGTACTGGGGGTTAGGACTCCAACAGACCCTTTTTTTGAGGGGGGGCATGATTCAATCATAACAGCAGTATAAATAGGGGTAAGGACCCAGGTGTGAATTCTAGCTCTGACATTTATGAATTCTGAGACCTCAGTCCCTCATTTTCCCCCTTAAATGAGGATAAAACAGATAGTACCTTCCTCATGTAGTTGTGAGGATTAAATGCATTAGTACATGTAACACTTAAAATACTGAGTAGTACAATATATATTATATATTCATTCATTTAACAAATGAATACCTATTAAGTGCTGGTCATTGTTCTAGGTGTTTGAGATTCCGAAGTAAACAAAATAGGCAACAATTCCTACCTTCATGGAGCTCATAAACTAGTGGGAAAAGAAAAACAATTTAAAAAGTAGAACATATCAAATGTCAGCCAGTAGAAAAACAACCGAGAGTGTTTGTAACTTGGGATCACAGACCTGTCATTTGAACAGAGACCTGAAGAATGGGAGGAGACAGTTAAGTGGTGATCTGGAGCTTTTCAGATATGAGGTTTCCCCACCTCAGTACTATGACATTTGATGAATAATGCTTTGGGGGGGGGGTGCTGTCCTGTGTATTGTTTAGCATCCCTGGCCACTACCCAGATGCTAGTAGTGGGTACCATCTACTACTCCAGTTGTGACCATCTGTCTGACATACAAAGATGTCTCCAGACATTGCCACATGTCCTGCGGAGTGCAAAATCACTCTTGGTTGAGAAGCACTGGGCTAGAAATAAAGTGAAAGAGGGGGAGGGGGCAGGGGGAGGGGCTCAGAGGCACAGCAGGGAGGCAGGCAGTAGGAGATGGAATGAATCACATCACCTATGACCTTTCGGCAGATGGGAAGCCACTGGAGGGTTGAGACCAAAAAGATAACACAACTTGACCCACATTTTTAAAAGATCCAATTGGCTGCCACATTGAGAACTGACTATGTGAAGAGACAGAAATGGACAGCTCAGGAGGGAGGCTGTCACAATAATCCCATTACTTTTTTCATTTGGTTTAATTTGTTCACTCATGTGGCTGGACGGTGGTGGGAGTGCTGAGAGACTTGAGCTAAGAAGCTCTGGGGAAGAAAAGAGGAAGGAGAGTTAGCAAAAGAAAAAGTTAGGCGTGGGCAAGATGTTTTGCAGAAGTGGAAGGCAGTAGGGTGACTCAGTCCACTTGAAAGAGCAGCGGGCTGTGCAGAACAGGGAAGGCTGGGGACCAGTTTGTGTGCAGGGCCGGAGGGTGTAAGCGAAGGAATCGGCGCTCTAGTCTGTAATGCCTGGGGAGCAGTGAGGACACCTCGCAGCAGTGGGCAGATCCTAGGAGTCAGAAAGAACACTTTCCAAAGGAGCCTCCTGAAATAATATGGGTGACGGATAACAAGAGCCGAGGTTTAGGTGGAGCGCTTGAGCAAGACATTCCTAAGGAAGCAAAATAAGGTCCTGCCCCATTACCTTCTTGCCCTTTTGCTTGCAGGCAAGTGCAGTCTATTGTCTCCGCTGAGGGGTCCGGAAAATTTTCCACGATTTCAAACGTCAAGCCAAGGCAGGTCCGCCACGAAAAGGTTTAAGAAGTGCAGTACTTTCTCGGGAAACGTGTCCCCAGAGGAGGGTGTGTTACATTTCTTCTAGGGTCTTTTCAAAAACACTATCATCCGTAGGTGAGAAAAACTATGGCAACGAAGAAAAAAAGCGGGTCTGCAATCAGAGTTCTGCAGGATGGCCCTACGTTTCCCTGCTCAGGTTAACGTGTCTCAGTGGGGTCAGCCGGGCAGGGCAGGTCCATCCACTCAGCCCCCCGCCCCGCAGGCGGGAGCTGC